ACCCCCCCCCCCACACAAACCCCCCCTCCCCCCACAACAATCATAACAAATACCTTCATAACAAGTCATTTAGATACCCTCATAACAAGTCATTTAGATACGCTCATAACAAGTCATTTAGATACCCTAATAACAAGTCATTTCGCTACGCTCATAACACATTGCCACAAACTGGTAACGCCTCTCTAACTAAATCCTTCACTGAAAAAATAAACAGTTGAAAGGAAGCACAGCAGCTTGAAATAGAAATTAAGATTTTATTCGTTTTTTTATTTGCATAACTTGAGAATCATTGATGCAAAGAAGATCATGTTTGAACAATTATTAATATAGGAATTTATTAACATAATAAAGATAATGAAATATTAATAAAATACAGAAGGCAATTAATTTTAATTCTTTAAAAAAAAAAAAAGAAAAGAAATGGATTTCATTTCGATTTAGGTACAAGATTGTAATAAAAAATGAACAGGGAAACAAATTAACTAGTAGCTTGGTTAAGTCCCTTTTGTCATTCTCCTCAAAAACAAATAATTCCCACTGATAATAATACATATGTTACATTCATAACAACTTCAACTATGTAAAGACCGAACACCAGGTAGGCCTATTATTATGTTATCACAGATAAAGTTCTTTTTTTTTCCCCATTTGTTAAGGAAATAAGTTCTGATTTCATCAACAGGTTGTCTATTCAAGTAAACAATTTCTCAATGTTCGTTTTATCCTGAGATTCTAGGACAGAAAAAAAACTTAATGCACATCTGTTACATTAAACATAAATCTCTATAAATGTATTTCCATGCTAAAATAATTTAGATGGCAGAACAGGCTAGGATCCATGAGTTGGCAGACCATATTTTATTTGTATAAGGGGCTCTCAGTGTAACACATCTACAACCATAGGAGGGATGATGCAGCATGTCAGATGTGGTGAAGCAGCAAGTCAGATGAGGTGGAGCAGCATGTCAGATGTGGTGAAACAGCAAGTCAGATTGAGTGACGCAGCATGTCAGATGTGGTGAAACAGCAAGTCAGATTTGGTGACGCAGCATGTCAGATGCAATGGAGCAGCGTGTCTGATGTGGTGGAGGAACATGTGAGATGTGGTGGAGCAGCATGTCAGATGTGGTGGAGCAGCATGTCCGATGTGGTGGAGCACCATGCCAGATGTGGTGGAGCAGCATGTCAGATGTGGACACAACTAAATCATTCACAAATTAAGATGAAGAGTGTAGAGCTTGGTTAAATCTTCCCCTTTTTGGGTTTCTCAATGTTACTTCATGTCACAAACATGTTACACCTATTTACACATTTGATTTAACTCACAGATAAGTCACAAACACAACTTTCATCGTGGGTCATCATCCAAGGAGTCTCTTGCATCATGCCAGGTGTCGGCGACCGAACTGAGTCGCTTGGCTTTATTTGACAGTTGCCAACTCTGTTCTTGATTTTCTGGTACCATTTCAACCTCCTCCACGCCATTGAACTGGGAGAGGTCCTTGATATCAAACGGCACACTCTCATGGCCCCGGGTGATGTTCTCTGCCTCCTCGCTACAGAAGGAGTTCATGTCTGCACCTAGACCAGTGTCATTGGATCCTGAATGGGAAAAGGGCTCAAACTCTGAGGGGCAGTCTTGGTCCGTCAGGGGCCAGGTCTCATCTAGCGAGATACTGTTTATCGAACTGATGGTGCTCTGACGACGGAGCAGCTTCCTTTTTGCCTTGGCGCTTTCGTAATACATTTTAGCCTCCTTGGAGTTGGTCACTGGCGTGCCGTCCGACTTAAACGCCTCAGGCGCCAGGGTGAACTCATTGACAGACGTCTGAGTGGAGACCAGATCTGGAGCAGCAGCAGAGTTTTCTGAGCGGGCCAGGGGGCTAACTTTAGGCATTTTGATCCTGGAGCTGGGATCCCTTGGAGAAATTCTATCCTGTGAGCATGAAGGAATTGGAGAGGAATGTTGGTGAGGTCTCCCTCTGAGCTTTCTCTCACTTTCAATCTCAGCTGATGCATGATGCGGGGAGGATGATGATGATGATGATGAAGACGATGAAGACCAGTTGTATGCGGATCGCATAAAGTGGGCATTGACAAAAAATGGGTTAGGCGGCTGGTCTTTCTTTGATCGACTCTGACTGGTTGGTTCGAACTGTGGACTATATCCAGCTGAGCTTATTCCTGAACTGTAGGATTCTGGGGTTTTGAAACCTACACTGTTGACATTCTGCAGCTTGGCATTTGGAATGGAAATCTTCCTATTTGGACTTTGAGCTGGAATTGACATTGGAACCTCTATTGAGTTTTCAGAGCTGCTTTTGAAAATGTTGAAAGGCCTGTCAAAACTTTGTGGATTGTGAGAGTCATGAGACACAGGATTCTGACATGATAATTGGGATGAAGCCGACTTTTGATGACATGCAGGAAAAGGTGGCGGAGTACCAAAGACACACTCCTCGCTTGAGGCAGAGGAGCAGGAAACTTTATTAGGAATAAACACACAATCCACCCCATCAACGCCTGTGGATGGGCAGGAGTTACGGTTTTTTGATGACAAAGGATTCCTGGAAGAGGAAAAAAGCATTGCCTCATCAGCAGAACCTTCTGAGATCTGCCTCGGTAATCCTGAAAAGAAAGGATTTTTTGTGGTGGCACTGCTGGGAGTCGGTGTGAAGAATGGAGTTGGCGGGGTGCTGGATGAATACACAGAGCTGCGGCTCTCCATTTTACTTATGAAGCGCTTCAGTTTCCGCATTTCTTGGACGCTCTTCATGCGCAATAGCTTTATATCTTTCGATTGGATGGGAACTCTGGGTGGACACTCACGCTTTATCCTAACGACATCGCGGATAGCCTGAAAGTCGGCATTGTAAAAAAATAAGACATGAAAACTGTTTAAAAAACTTAAATCACATCATGTGTAAATCTATCATAGCTACATGGTATTCTGTGATTAAACATACCAATACCTATATCAGATTTCATTAAAAAAGACTTGGGTATTTTTGCAACCTTAGCATTGAAATAATTTTTTTTTTTTATCTTTATTTTAGTTTACTAGTGTTCTTGAATCCAGGATTTTAGACGTTCTGAAGTGACTCCTATTCATTTCAGTGACCTAGTATTTAAAAACCAGTAGCCATCTCTTACATTTTTAATATCTTCAATGTGCAGAAGTGTGTTGAACTCCATGAGTTGACTCAGCTTGTCAAAACTGTCATGTGAGTACGTGAAGTTGAATGTGGAATATGGGGCATTGGGGTCATCAAACACATCAAATTCAGCAAAATCAAATTCTTCCTTTGTCTGCCTGGGCACCCCTAAAATTTAAAATATGTTATTGCATACATTTTATTCAAATTAATGAAACTAAATCATAATAATGGTAGTTAAAGAAACTAATTTGTAATTAGTTAATGAAACCCATTTACAATTAGTTTAAGTTAGTCGTAAGATAAAGAAGGTTGAAAGCTAATGGAATAGAAATATAAACACACCTGGAGCCTTGTATAACTTGAACAGCTTGTTGACCAGCACAAAGTGAAACACAATGGGACAGTGGGGGTCTGTCGGATGGCGGAAGATGTACAGTTCTTTCATTCCCTCTCTCTCAAACACAGTTGTGTCAATCGGTGGGAAGGGCAGCCGATTCAGTCGGGCCCATTTCTCTGCCAACAGAAGTTCCTGAAACAGCATTTAAAAATTTCAGTTGAATATTCTGTGAAGCAGGTAAATTTTGCATGAAATAATGACTTAAAACAAACATTTTATCATGGAAAAAGTATAAAACTTTTAGTAATGCAAGCAGACCCACCATTAGGAACAAAATAATCTTCATAAATGGCCCTGCAAAACTAAGGATCCATTGTGTTATGTGCATCTTCCAAGGAAAAAAAACTTTGGTTCAAAGTGGAATATATTTTTTTTGGTGGAATGTAAAATACGATAATGATCATAATCAGCAACTCACCTTAAAGGGAGGGGAGTTATCTGATTCTCTTGCACTGAAGTCAAATGATAGGATTATGTCCACCTGGCGCTGTGGCCGCAAGACCAAAGGATATGGCGAGTTAAAGGTGAGACCCGCATCGACCATGTAAATGTGCTTAATGCTGGTGGGGTGCATTTCAAAAATACCTGTGGTTTAAAAGAAAAACAGGATTGAATGAAATAATGCTTGCTCAGCAACTTTAAATTGATTTTGTGATTTTGTTGCAATATCCTCTTCCAACTTGCTAACACTGGTATCATCTGGCACATACAGCTTGTTTCCACTTTTTAACCATCCTACCTCACAGCACATTTAGTATTAAAAATAATTTTGAAATGGTGTGTGAAATAAGACATGACAAGACTTAATGCACCTTCTAAGAGGCCAACACCAGGCCCTCGTTATATTGTCTCTAACAGAAAAAAAAAATCATGTAAATTAGTAGGAGACAGAAGACATCTTTAATAAATCTTTTTATGGTATTTAAAAAATGTTTACCATCAAACATGTCTCCTTCTTTCACTCTCTCTTCCACTGGGGTGAAAGGGGATATAGGATAAGTCTGCTGCAGGGACAGACCTCTCATAAAATTGTGGATTACAGCGGCCCGCCCTCGTCGTGTGCTAAACAGCTCCCAAGAATTACTGGGGGAAAAAAAGCAACATTTTAAAACAATCAATTTAATGAAAAATGCTGTGAAACGTTTCTCCCTTAACGGGTGACAAAATTATTGGTAGCAATAAACTGTTACTAGGCCCAGTGGTGCTAGTAACAACAGACTGTTACTAAGCCCAGTGGTGCTAGTAACAACAGACTGTTACTAGGCCCAGTGGTGCTTGTAGCAACAGACTCTTACTAGGCGCTTGTAGAAATCGATTTACTAGACCTGGTAGGGCTTTTTTGGCTTTATTTCCAAGTCTTCCGCCGTAAAAATCTATGAAAAGCTCAATGATCTTTTAACATTGATCCCAATATACTAAGATACGGTACCAGTACATTTATCATTGGCTACAAATGAGATATTTGTCATGAGCTAGGGAAGACCCAAAAACACCTGGGGAAAAGATGTCAAAAAAGGCTGGAAGAGCTGGAAAGAATAAGAGAGCACACCTAGAGACAGGAAGGCTGGGAAAGTAATTGTCAATGGCCTATGTGTCACTGTAAGTTGAAAAGGCAAAGAAGAGATATGAAAACTTACTATTTAACCAGTGACTACAAATAAAATTTTACCTTTCAACAATGCCCTGCATCAACTTTTTCCAGTAACTCTTGGAGCCACTCTTGGATTTCTTAAATGATGACCCAGCTCGGACAAAAGCCTTCCTTCTCTGGTTGCCATCAGCGTGTTCAGCCTTCTTAATTTGAATTGGACACTCACCCCAGTTCACGGACTTCTTCAGTCCATCAGATGTTTCAAGTCCAGGAGACTTGAGCCCAGATTTCAATGCATTGTGTTCAGGTGCACTTTGCCCTTGCTGCCTCTCAAACTCAATTTTGGGTTCAATAATCATCGCAACACTTTTCTTTATGATGCCGCAGCTTTTCCCTTGAGAACGCTCATCCTCTTCTTCCTCACCTTCACCTTCATAAGCCGAGTCAGCGACAGAGTCTGTCTCGACTCCTGTGTTGCTGTTTGAAGAATCGTTACTTATTTCATCAAAAGAAAAATGATTTTTCTGGCTGGAGTCAATGTGGCCCTTTTGGCTTAAATCTTGCAATATGTTTTGACTCCAACTGACTCCCCTGACTTTGGCGCCATCTGTGGTAACATCCACTTGCTTAACTGATCCGGTGTCACTACCCTGGCTGTCAAAGCTGCTGCTGGAGTCATCATCAGTATCATCAGCATCATCGTCACTCGGATCACTGGAGCTGTCCTGACCCTCCTCTTGGAGTTTTTGGTCCATTTCTAGTCTAAGCATCTCAGGGGGGTCAAGTCGACGGTTGTCTTCCATGAGGCGTCTAAATAGTATACAGAATGCACTTCCCCATATACCTAGTGTAGGAAAACAAGCAAATGAGATTTATTTTGAAGAAAATGAATACATACAAATTTTAAGAATACCGGTATTTAAAAAAAAAAAAATTATCAAAGAATTAATATTCTTTGCATGATGAGAAAAAGGATGATTTATTGAAAGAAAATAATTTTAAGAGTATTTTTTAAAAATATTCTCATAATTTTAACTTTGGGCATTTACTCTGGTGATAAGATTCCATAGTTCAATAAGTTAAGTGGTTCCCACCTTGCAGAAAGTGCAGTGGCTCTTCTTTATATTTCTTGACAAGTTTTCCCATGAAGAACTTGCTACCAAAAAGCTCAGAGTCCATGAATGTTCCATACTTGGGCATGCCAATCTCATAGGGGGAAAACTCAACCCATTCTTGAGAAAGAAAGTAAATTCAAAATTAACTTTCAGCTCATGATGAAGTAAGGCAATAATATAATTACAGAGGTGTACTGTGGCATTTAATTGCAAAACTTAACACATTATGTAAAAACCCCATCATATGGAATTAAGACTATACATACCTTGAAATGACCTGGCCGGGACATCCTTCTTGACATGGACACAAGTGTAGAGTGGCATTGGAGTACTTCCTCCTTTAATCTTCTCTCGCTGGTCAGTCAATGTCGATTCCATTCTCTGTGGGTGAGAGAAACAAACACACTTCAGTAATGATAGATACATAGTACGCCTACCAGGCTGTCTAAAATGTTTCCTATGGAGAGCATTCATGCATTTGGCCATTGAAACTTTGGCTCAAGCTCCTCCTCTGGGTCTCCTGCACAGCTGATAGATATCAGGTTTTTAACAAAATATTTTAAATTAACATTATCCTGGAGATGATGATTGAGTCTATTCCATATAATAAAAAACATTCTTCATGAGAGGATTTATTTGTAGACAAATTATGAAGAAAATCATGTATCACAATGTTTTAAAGCAGATTTTTGAGTTGAGAAGTTAAAACCTGTAATTATATTTTGAAACATTTTATAAACTTGGCTTACATCTTGGAGAAGCGTCTCTCCGACCATTCGACCGAAAATATCGGTGAAACTGACTGGCTGCCCTTCCTTTCGCTTCTGTACCATGAACTTGGCATAACTGAAGATGGTGGAAACATTGAAGAAACGCAGCAAACTTTTATCAATGCTGTTTTTGAGCTCATTCAGAAAGTCATCCATGTCAAGATTCGGCCACTTTGGGTGTGAGTACAATGTTGAGATCAGCCTGAAATAAGCAAATACAATTAAAATAAAAAGATTATTGAAAAAATGTTGCATATCAGTATTCTTTTTTTATTTTAGGAAAACTCATCTGAGGGAATTCAGTTTTTGCAAAAGACACCAATCTCGTGGAGAACAACACAGTGACAGATGTAGGATTAAATAACATTCAGTTACCCGTACAATGAACGTTCATGCTAAACTATTAAAATAATTTGGAGTGGTTTTTTTTAGTGGGTGATACCGATGTGTATGATTTTTTTTTAGTACAGTGTTAGCTATTTTTTTTTTTTTTTGCTGGCATCCGTCCGTCACAATGTGACGATAGAGTGGGCTTCAGAGGACAAAATCCACATGGCCTGGGATTATTCTTCAAGGATTATAAGCTGGTTCCCAACAGCAAATCGCCTCTCTCCACGCTGCTGGATAGCCCAAGGGAACATCATTGGCACCAGTGTCGTCGCAGTGTTGTAGGAATGTTTCATTGTATCAATGATATCCGCCTATCGGGACTCCATCTCCGGGTTTGATTTCAGAGTTTCCTTCTCTTAGATGACTTGCCATCCAACGTTAACAAGTCCCATCTACCCGGGGTGCTGGTGGTGTTTTTGCTTGACTGGGCTCTGGCTGGAATTGAACTCCAGATCACCAACTTGAGATTTGCTCAGTTTAGACCACTCGGACACAGTGTTAGCTATAGGCCCTACTTAAATCATTCAGCTGATTACCTTCTGTAATGAGCAGATAGATGTGTAAAATGTTTGGTCAGAATAAAAATTGAAAAGGTCCACATACCATGAAGATCCAGACAGACCACATGCATACGTTGTGCAGTCCAAAACACCAGATTCAACCAAAGCTTTGAACACACCACTGTAGCCAGTCATGGCACGGAAGCCACCACCCGAACCAATCACAGCAATTGTTGGCACCTGCGATCATCAATGTATGTCATGGTGAGGTAGAATTAGGAGAAGATTATATGAGTAAAATTTAGCATAAAAATGCAACAATTTAAAGTATATTTCATAAAGATAGATTAGAGTCTATTTTAATTCCAAGGGACACAACTACAAACTATTTTAATGTTCAGAAATATTTAAAAAAAAAAACAGACAGGATTTGAAATTATTTACATCAGAGGAGTAAAAGTCTTGACATTAAAATAATATATTAAAGATACTCATTATGGTGATAAACTAAGATCCCAGTGATTTTAGGAATTAAAAAATTTTTCATGAGTGTCCAATAGTTTTAAAATACTGCCCACTTTCCCGCTGGTTAAACTTTCATTTGAAGTAAGAATCAGATTTAAACCTTAAGTCCAGAAGCATAAATGTATGGGAAAAATGGGCCCACCCTGTAGATTTTACCAAAAGCTGTTGAATCTGATAATGTTTATTATTTTTTTTTTTTAAACATAATTATCTATGGACTTCTAACCTGCTCAATGTTCATTGGACCATCATTTTCTCCCAGAAGCCCTTGCAAAACTTCCACGATTTTCTCTTTCCTCTGTGAAATGAATTCTTTCTCTGCATCACTCAGGCACAAACTGTATCGAAGTGTTGGATTACGGCTGTCAGAAAAAAAAGAATAGTTAAATATTTATTTTCTACCCATATTATTTATAGTACGGTGCATTTTTAATATACTAACATAGTAAATTCAAGTATTTATCATTAACTGTTTGACAAAATTCCTCTGTTTAACAACTATATTGATACATCTATAGTCTAAATATTATCCTTCTCAATTAATTTGAAATGTGTCTGAGAATAGTTGTTAAGACTTACTCAAACTCCAGCTTAAACTCTATGTCCACTTCAGACTCCTGACAAGGACAACATAAAATGTTTTTGTTAAGTATACATCAGAAATTAAAATTCGATTAAAAGTCAAGTTTGTTTCTTAGGTATTTCATTAGGTTATGGTTTTAGAAGCTGGGTGTACAGGCCAACGTAAATATACCCATTCTAAACTTTGAAGAAAATTTTAAACTATTATTTAAGGCCAAAGGATCATCCAGGAAACCTGCCCCCTGGAGTAATTGCCAGGATGGGTTTTTTTCCCCATGTTTTCCAGTATGTGTGGAAGGGAGGGTGTTAAGTGTTGCACTCATACCTTCCATTTCCAACATTTATTGATTTTAGTACAACCTAAAATAAACCCATTAATCTAACATAAAAATGGTTTATTGATTATAGAAAATGCCTTCCATTTCCAACATTTATTGATTGAAGTGCATCCTAAAATAAACCCATTAATCAAACATAAAAATGGTTTACTGATTATAGAAAATGCCTTTCATTTCCAACATTTATTGATTGAAGTGCATCCTAAAATAAACCCATTAATCCAACATAAAAATGATTTATTGATTATTGAAAATAACTTAAAATATTATTGAGTGCAATATGCTTCATAAGGGACAGTTGTTTTGGGGAAAATTATTTGTAAAAAAAAAAAAATCACAAACGTACAACTTACTTTATTAAAGATAAATGTTTCGACTTGAGGTTTTTCCATTTCTCTAATATTGACAGTGTCAAAGTATGCTGTACCAACTTTTTGATCAAACCACATGTTGGACTCCATTAGACTAATTTCTGGTGGAAGAAATAAGTGCAAAGAATCTAGACTATAAGTTAGTGACAGGTCATCTTGCAGTTGGTTACAGGCCTCTCAGTTGGTAACAGACAATCCGTTACTTTGGAACAGGTCATCTGTCAGTTTTTGATAAGCCATCTGTCAGTTTATTATAAGCCATCTGCCAGTTTGTATTAAGCCATTGGTCAGTTTAATAGAGCATCTGCCAGTTTTTAATTGAGTATCTTTCAGTTTGGAACAGAAAAACTGTTAGTTAGTTTGTGATAAGCCTTCTGTAAGTGTGTGATAAGCCATCTGTCAGTTTGTAATAGGGCCATCTGTCAGTTTGTGGGGATCTGTCAGTTTGTAACAGGCTATCTGCCAGTTTAGTCAGTTTGTAACAGGCTACGAGTCAGTTTGGAAAAGGTCACGGCTCCTTTTTTTCAGCTCTAATTGTAGTTCATGCTACATACCAATAACATTGGCCTGCTCAAAGTTCATGCTACATACCAATAACATTGGCCTGCTCAAAGTTGATGAAGAAAGTAAATGTTTCATCCCAAACCGGATTGGTACAGTTTTCCTTAACACTGGTGGATTTTCTCCCCTCCGGCGAACTCTTCAACACAAGGTTTACATAAGGGTCTGGAGTATCATCTGTCACAAAGATGATTGAAATCAATTATGATCGAAGTAAATTTATACCAAAAAATAAAAATGTTAAAGGAACAATGTCATGGCAAGTGTATCAAACAATTTAAACAGCATTGTTCATTTTAAATGAAGAAATAAAAGCTTCCAATTAAAGTTAAAAAAAAAAAATTAAATATGAAGATTTTAGTATTTAGAGCTCATGATGACTTTCATGTTGAGACCAACAACAACAGATATTGGGTAGATGTATGCCAATTAAGATTAGGCCCTTACAAGATAATTAGCTGAGAACCCTTATTATATGATTTTACAAATTTTTTTGCAAAATAAAACATTAAAGTTAATAAAAGATCAGAATCCTTGTAAAAATAAAATATTTTTTTGAAACCTAACTAAACTATTATGTTGTAAAAGCATCAAAACTCTGGTAAAGTTCAAACAAAACCTCATTTTCAACTAAAAATTGGAATCCTGGTCATGTAAGAAAGAAAATGAGCAGAACCCTTTGAAGAAACTTACAATAATCCTGTAATCCATTTGTAATGTTTCGACCAGTTAAAACTCTGGCAGTCAGAATGAGACATGGGGTGTGCTGGACCTGGAAGTAATGAAATCAAAGTTGAATATTGGACAGTAAGACATTGAGCTATTCAAGACAGTGTCTTCTAGGAAATTGAACATTAAGATTTCTGAGACAGTGTCCTCTAAGGCAGTGACTTCTAGATCATTGGGCAAAAAGACTGAGCTTTCTAACACAGCTCCTTCTCTGACACTAGTGCTTTCTGTCACAGTCCCTTCTCTGACAGTGCTTTCTAACACAGTGCCTTCTCTGACAGTGCTTTCTAACACAGTTCTCCTTCTCTGACAGTGCTTTCTAAGACAGTGCCTTCTCTGACAGTGCTTTCTAACACAGTTCTCCTTCTCTGACAGTGCTTTCTAACACAGTGCCTTCTCTGACAATGCTTTCTAACACAGTTTCTTCTCTGACAGTGCTTTCTAGCACAGTTTCTTCTCTGACAGTGCTTTCTAGCACAGTTTCTTCCCTGACAGTGCTTTCTAACACAGTGCCTGCTCTGACAGTGCTTTCTAACACAGTTCTCCTTCTCTGACAGTGCTTTCTAACACAGTTCTCCTTCTCTGACAGTGCTTTCTAACACATTTTCTTCTCTGACAGTGCTTTCTAACACAGTTCTCCTTCTCTGACAGTGCTTTCTAACACAGTGCCTTCTCTGACAGTGCTTTCTAACACAGTTCTCCTTCTCTGACAGTGCTTTCTAACACAGTTTCTTCTCGGACAATGCTTTCTAACACAGTTTCTTCTCTGACAGTGCTTTCTAACACAGTTCTCCTTCTCTGACAGTGCTTTCTAACACAGTGCCTTCTCTGACAGTGCTTTCTAACACAGTTCTCCTTCTCTGACAGTGCTTTCTAACACAGTTTCTTCTCGGACAATGCTTTCTAACACAGTTCTCATTCTCTGACAGTGCTTTCTAACACAGTTCTCATTCTCTGACAGGCAGTGCTTTCTAACACAGTTCTCATTCTCTGACAGGCAGTGCTTTCACAGTTATTGTTTTGTCCGGCTGTTTTTTTGTGTTTTTTGTTGCTCTAAAGGTGTTTTCTCCACAATGATAAAATTTATTTTAAAAAAAAATGTAGGGGTGGAGCAGGAGATCATCTCCAATCCTTTGACCTGTTTCCATGACGTCATGTCTAAACCTGTTGGACAGTCACTATTCTGTTTTATTCAACCACAAAAGAACTTGAGCTTAAACTACTTTTTTTTTCCCCTTGGCATGCAAAGAACTTGTTTAACAACATCATGTAACAACTTAATAGATCAAACGGAAACGATGCTCAACCCTTGCAGAGTTTGTTGTAAATGGTTGAGACCGTTGAACCATCCCAAAATTGAATTAGAAAGTACAAAGAATTTCAACTGATTGAAAAAAACAAAAAAAACATAAAAAAACAAATGCAACGAAAAAAAAAAAAAAAAAAACAGATTGAGACTTAAATTTCAAAAAGTAAGAAAAACACAACGACTCGAAAGGAAACTACTAATTGTTAAATAAGCTCTCAAAGTAAAAAAAAAAAAA